GATCCGTCTCGCCCCCGGAATGATTCTTGCCCAGAGGAAAATAATTCACCAGGGAAAGGCGCTCACCTGATTAAAAGGCGGAGTGATCCGTCTCGGCCCTGATGATCCGTCTTGGCCTAAGGGAAATAACTCTTTAAGGAGAGGCGCCGCCTGATTAAAGGTGGAATGATCCGTCTCGGCCAGGGAGAGGCGCTCGCCTGATTAAAGGTGGAATGGTCCGTCTCGGCCCGGAATGATCCGTCTCGGCCCAAGGCAAAATAATTCCCTAGGGACGCCTCTCACCGGATTAAAGGTGGAATGATCCGTCTCGGCGCATATCCATGGCCCGCGACGGAATCGAACCCGCATCCTCCAAGCTTCAGAGCGGCGACGCCTCTTCCGATTGAGCTACGGAGCGCTGCTGCCATCCCCTAGACTTAGTCCAGGACCAAGACTCCCGTGCCGGAGAGCGTCACCAGCTGGTAGGCTATCGTGGATGAACACGTCCGTCATCGTGCCGTCAAGTCCCTTGAAGGTGAACCGAGCCAGGTTGCCCGACGTACGATGACACGGTGCGCAACATTGACATCGACCGGCGGCTACCTGCGCCACAGCTTCATCGCGGGCTTCCCGACCGAGCGCGTGCCCAAGATGCCCCTGAGCGGCCGAGGCAGGAGGACAGCCTCCTCGAGTTGCAGATGCAGCTGGCAGCCTGCAGCACCGCGCGTGCAACGCTAACGTTGTGCTCCGCCACGCCCGTCGGCACTGTGGCTGCGTGTGCGCCGTGGGGTAGCTGAACCCTCAACCAACGCTCAACCAGCCCTAAGCCAATCCGAAACCAACCCTTCAACTCTTCTGGTCCTCTTGTGCTCCTCTAGTAATGCTACTCTAGTGCTCCGTTAATCCAACCCGAAACCAAGCCTAAGCCAGCCCTAAACCAAGTGAAGCAGCCCGAAACTGAACCTAAACCAACCACCAACCCCCAAACCAACCCTAAACCGGCCCTAAACCGGCCCTAAACGAACCTGCGCTGAACCAGCCCCAAACCAACCCTGAACCGACCCTAAACCAGCACGAGAGGACGAGGGCTACCTCAGGGAGTGCAGGTCTTGACACCTATCCGTCTGGAGGTACATGTATCCCTGCTAGGGGATCAGCTGCGTTCACACAAAGGCCCGCGGGTGTGTATGCTAGAGTCGCTCCCAGGTCAGGCCTTGCACAGGATTGCTGTAGGAGCCGGAGAAATCGACCCTGACTAATGATGGCGAGGTCAAGGTCGTCGTGTTCAACCACGGCGATAAGGACTTCATCGTACAACCAGACGGAAAGATAGAAACCCTCCGGTCGCGGAAGGTCTGAAAAATGTTGTGCTTCCAAAAAGCAAAACCTGACTTACAGGCCAAACAAATTCCAGACCTTCCGCGACGGGAGAGTTTCCATCTTTCCGCGGAAGAGTTTCTATCTTTCCGTTTCGCGCCCTTTTGTGTCGGGGTGCCAGATCTGGAAAAACAAATCAATGGCTCGGTTGTGTTTTTTTGGTTATTTTGAGGGCTTGATTTGAGTCTGTTCGCTCAGTGTCGTCATCGTGGATCCAGCCTTCCACCAGCAGCCTCGAAGTCGATCGTTTTGCCAACTGAGCCATACCGGCACCCCAAATCCCGCCGGACACCAGTTGGGATTGATAGTTTGTCCCAATTAGGGATGTAGGGTGAACGGTTTTTGAAAGTTTTGACTTGTAGATGCATTGTCAAGCTTTGCTTCTGGGATTTAAATGGCTTTAGCATCGGCCCACGAGCAAACTTGCACAAAACTACTTGCACAGAGGTGACTGCGCAAAAATACTTGCGCAAAGCAACTTGCAGAGAACCGTCTACACAGAGGCGAGCAGTCTGGAAACAGTCTGGTTGTGAATGCTTGATGTACATGCCTGTCACGATTGGTTTGGGAGTGATGTTGACTGCACCGTTTGGCATGTGTTTTTGGCTTGGAGAGTCATTCACGTCGCTCGAGCCTGGTAAGTCGTTCTTCTGACTTGCACATGGGGCTTGGGCACGGATTGGTTTTGTCGCGAGGCATTTCGGAAACCACAGCACGCATGTTTGCAGGATTTTGGCAAATTGATGTGACTCTTTTCCATTTGGGCACCATTTTTTTGAGTTTTGTGGGTGTTGTGTCCGAGGCGCAAACTTTATGCTGGGCTCAAGCATAGCAGGTTTCTGAGCCATGACAAATCCACGTAGCGCAATCCACATGTGCCCACATAAGGACTTTGGACATTCGGACTTTGACACACGTCACTTTGTTGGCGCAGTCAATCCTTGTGTGCTGAGCAGGGTTGACATGATAGCTGATTGCATGTTAGCCACAAAACAGCGGGACATGTGTGTAGCAATAAAACACGTTTTGCAGCGTAGGATGTATTGCACATGTGCCGATGCCTCAGTTTAGTTCGATACAACGAGATGTCCAGGTCGCATGCTCTTTTGAGCCGAGGTGGATGTGCTCTTGTCGACCAGCCTGGTGATGCTCACAGCACGGGAATGCATGCGTTCGGACCTGTCGGCTTTGAAACCAGACTCAATTCTTGTGTTGCGTGCGACGCGTTTGCACACAACGGGCGGATAGTTGTACGTTGCTACGCAACAAAAACATGAGACTTAAGATTGACCAACAATTGCACCGATGTAAATTTGTCTGGATCATGTCCATGGACGTTGTCAAAGACTTATCTGCCTGGAAGGTGGCGCAACACGTCACTTTGCACATAAAGAAAGCTGCCCAGGTTGGCCTCAGTCTGACGCTCTTGGCAGAAAAGGATGTGCCAGCAACTCAGACCCGCTAAGCCCATGAAAACCGAATCACTGCAAGTGGGGGCTGTTCCAGGCGAAAGGGAACCTCGATTTGTCCAACGGAGAAAACCATGAGTTAATCACTTCTCATTATGAGGATTCCATTGGGTTTGTTTAGACGCACCCATGTGGATCACGGCTGGTTGATTCTAGCGCCGGCTACGTTGGAATGTGTCACTTATGCATGATCAGCTGTCTCCACCTCTGGTCGATGCTGAGGCCTGGGTTGCAGATTCTGCAGCTGATGGCTTGGACCAAAGTGGCGCAAGGGTCGACTTGATCGTCTTTGAAGTTGGGGGGCGCTGGCGGTTTTATGGCCACCGTTTTTTTTTTCTCGCCCTGGGCTGACTTGCCGGACTGGGATGTCGGTTGAGCAGCTTTGCGTATGGCAACGTGCGTGGCCATGTCAGCAGCTTGCTTTAGAACCACAAAACGGGTGCCACGCTCCATGGAAATCAGCGACCATAGCATAGGTGTCCTTTTTGGTTGTTTTGCTGGAAAAATAGATGGCCCTGGTTTACCTGGTGGTTTAATCATCCACCAGGACCATCTATTTCCCCAAAAAGGACAGCTATGGACCCTAGAGGTCTTTCAGTGAATTTGGACAGAAACATGGCAGCCGAGCATGTCAGATGCTCAAGACCAATGCACACAGCCCATGAAACGCCAATGCTTTTGTGGGAGGGGCTTTTGCGGTGCCATGCCGCGTGATTCTGGGCATGGGGCAGTCGGCAAGCGATGTGCCGGCCCCAGACGCGAGAAGACTTTGCTCGGGTCATGAGATGCCCTGGTGCCTGTGCGTCATCAACTTTGTGTGGAGGGTTCTTGTTTGGCACCTGTCCTCAGGTCGGCTTGGCGCCTGGTCAGGCACACGGCTGGGACTGGCCGGGAATGGATGCTATTCACATGTGGTTTGCGACAAATTCTGCACGCGTACCCTTGGAAGCCTGGGATCTCTGGAAACCCGCCACTGGTTGGTTTGCACCGCAATCAGAGAGAGGAATCCATGTTATCAATGCGGGTCAAGTGTTTTTGAGCCCGGATAATATGGCTGTGGGTCAAAACCAATGGTACCATTTTGGGGCAGGTGCACCACCTGTGACAGTCTATTTCAGTGGTTGGATTGGGATGTTCACTGGCGGGTATGATTTGGATTTTGACCCATGGCCACCCCAAACTTTCATCCCTTTCCATTTGCCAGGGTTCCATTTTGGGTACTCGTTTTTGACCCATGGCCATATGGACAAATCCGATTCGATGCGTCCCAGCGACAGGCCCGGGTGGACTTGCTGGCCTCCCATGCCTCCGTGCTGGAGCGGGCGGCCCTTCGGCTACCTCAAATGGAAAACCGCCAGCTGAGCGCAACGGGGCAAGGAGAGAAATGCCACATGCTCAAGCTTCCCCAGATACCTCAGCTGATTTAGAGGATTCGAAGGTAGAGCAGGTGGTTGGATGTATCTTTGAGGAAGGTCAGCTTTTGCGGCTCATCTAAGTGAGGTTCTTGTGGGGTGGATGCGGTGTTATCCATTCCCTAGTCTTACCGTCGTCTTTTGTGCGCGGGACGAAGGTCAGGTGAATGGCTGACTGGGTTGTGTTTTTATGTGCCCATGTCAGAAGGTAAGATGAGTGGAAGGCAAACACAAGAGGAGATAAACTGACGTCCATGCCTCTTGACAGACAGTATGCAACTCGGAGGGGCCGAAAAGAGATGAGACAAACTCGGTGCACAACGTACCAACGTGACATTGGTATAGTGTGGAAGGGGACTTGAAGCTGCGGTGCCAACCTGGCTGGAGGGTCTTTAATCAGTTGTTGGAAAGTGGACAGCGTGCTGAGCATGTCAATAATGGATTCAGAGACAAACAGCCACGTGCGAGACTGTACTGAGGACATGCGGACGCGATGCTTGTGCCGCATTCAGGGCCTTTGCGTATTCGTCAACTGTGAAGAGGTTGTATGCACTGCTAATCAAGCTCAAACAGGGAGTCTAAGGAACAACCCTCAGAGTGCATCGAGGCTTTCCCTCATGCACATGGATTAAATTTGGAAGTACCCAGACTGGTGGCCAACCTGTTAGTTATTTCTACCTTCTCTCCACCTGCGCTGGTGATTTTCGCCTAGATTTGTGGCAGTTGCTCTATCGGGAAGCCGATCTGAGGATGGCCATTTACGATGGAGGAATTCACCTGTGCCTTGATTCGGAGTGAGAGACAGTCCACTTGATTTTCACATGGGTGTGTTAAAAAAGAGACCTCCCGCCCATTATCCCCCGCAAGCAACCAACAGTGGTCAACATGAATAGAACACATTGGAAGACAGCAATCCACAGAGGTAACATGAAAGTATCCTCTCACTCGCTTTTGTACCGAATCTTCCGAATACCCAGACAGGGTCTCTTTTGAAGATTTTGCACGTGCTTTTCTAACAGAAGCCTACCTGAAAGCTCATAGTTATAGATCTCCTGTGGAAAGAGGCTCTCTGAGAAAAACTCTACTTTTGTTCTGTAGACAGTCCTGGGCAAGATTTCGATGGCAGGATCTTTGCAGGACTTGTGGATAGGGCGATAGCATCTCTTGATAGGACCTCTTGGGCAGGATCTTTGTGCAGGATCTCAGACAAAATCGGTGTCTTCCGGATGTCTAGAGAGCATCCTCGACAAGATTTCTCGACATGAAATCTTTGCAGGTTGTGCCCAAAATTTGTTGAGAGGAGTTCTAAGTCATCTGTGAGAGGATCAGTGCAGGATAGCTGCACAAGACCTCTACAAGTGCTTTGTTCAAGATCTGCAGGGAGCATCCTCTACAAGATAGCAGGTCCTGCGCAAGACTTCTTGAGAGGATCCCGATGAAGGGACCAGCGCAAGATATCTTTGGGAGGGTTTTCACAGGATCTTCGCGCAAGATCTCTGGATAGGATCTCTTGACAAGATCTCTGCGCAGCATCCCTGGATAGGATTTCTTGGCAAGATCTGTGTGCAGAAAACATGAGACGACCCTCCGTATACTAAAGTTTAGTGTCCAGGATCTGTAGAGACGTCCTACAAGGTCTCTTGCAAGGGAATCATGTGCAGGCCCTTTACTGCCACGTTCTTACCGTGCACCACACTGCAGCCAGAGCAATCCGAGGGAAATCCAAGCCATGTAAAGCCCGCACCGCTTTGATGTGCAAGATTCGCAGCGACGCAGAGGGCTCGCTTGAATGAGCGCGCTACAGCGCCAGCGATTGAACGCTCCCAAAGTCCGCAGACGGGGGCACTTTGCATGGTGCAACATGTGCACCGCGCCACAGCCATCCAATGTCCGTAGAGGGTTGGCTTTCGAGCTTCAAAAATTGTGGTGGCACCGCCCCGACAGCGATTCAACATACCCAAAATCCGGAGCGGGTGCACCACAGCCAGAACGATCCGACCCACCTGAAGTCAGCAAGCAGAGGGTTCACACTTGATTTCTCCATACGCGTTGTCACAGCGACAGCGACTCAACGCGCGCAAGGTTAAAGAAAACGCACCGCGCCACAGCGAGAGCACATTCCAACACGCCCAGCGTCCGCAATGGGTGCACCAATCCACCGTTTCCAGAATTCGCACGTCGCCGAAGCGCCTGGAAAGACACCAGCCCCCCACGCACTTTGTGCGAGCGCAGTCGACATGCAGTCGACACACTTGGGGGAAAACATGCGATTGCAATAGATTCCCTTTCACACCACCCCAAAAAGCGGGGTCCCTAAAAAAAGCACGACCCACATATGTTCTAGGTCCCCCTGCATGGTCCGAGTGGCTGTGGGGCTTGGTCAAGGGCTGGCGGAGGGCTGGTGGGTTGGACCAACCCGAGGCCTAGATGAGTCCACGCAAATTCTGCGTGTGCGCTTGACCCCGGACGGGCGCATCGAGCCGGTGCCATGGATGCAAGGAGTGGAAGACGCCCGTGTTTCGGGTGTGTCTGTTTTTGGAGGGGCTCAGGAGCTCAGGCATCTTGAATCGTTGCCAAGGTGCGAGAGGTTCTTCCGAGCGCCAGGTGGTTTTTGGGTTTGATGGAAGCCTTGAGGCCGGATGCAACAGGTCCGTCCGCTATATACGTTTTGCTGAATGTTACGCTAAAAGAGTGCTATCGTTGAACATGTCTAGGGAGGGGGGTTGTCCTCATTTGGTAGGGAACTGGACCGTTTGGCCTTTGCAACCATTAAGCTACCCAGACGGTATTTTTTCGGGGTTGTGTTAGAGGGAAACCCCCCCATTGAACTTGGGGAGTTCTCTCCGCCGGATCCGAGGTGAGGGCAGAGGAGCCGGGTGTTTTCCCAGGGCTTTTCCAGAGACTTGGTAAGAACTTGGGCTGGGGCTCGAAATTCGGGCCCGTCAAGCTGGGGGTCGTCGTTTGAGGCTCGGAGCGCTTCTTGGGGTGGGGGGATGCTCTGGCAATTTGTTTGGCTTCAGCCATGGTGAGGTTTTGTGGTGGCAAGCTGGGATTGTCTTGCTTTGAGGCTTGGGGCCCGGCTTGGGATTGAACGACCCCATGGCCATGTCGCGAGGTTTTATTTTGAGACCAACCAACTAGGCCCCAGTCCCAGGGTTGGCTGCTTCCGTGAACAACAAGATCTTGCCCCTTAAAAAGGGGCATTGGCGCTTCAACCATTTTAACGCAGGAAGTTGACTCGCCCAGTTTGAGACCTTCTAATGTTGGAATCGCGCAGACAGGGTCTAGTGATCCTGTAACCCCATGACTCGGCGTTGAGCCTGCGGACACTCCGCGGTTCTGGAAGATAAACACAAGAATTCGGCTATTTGGAGGCGCCCTCATATGTGTTGACCGACATAGACATGTAGGTCATGGAGGAGGATTTTTCTGCCCATTCTGTGGTAGATGTCTCCGCGTCGAAGATGTCTCATGGATTCTTATCCAGGCGCTAAGCCTGGCGTTTCAAGCCCCACTTTGAAGGCATCTTCATGAAGGGACCCTGAGTCATAGATGAGGGCAGACAACAGTCCCAACCATAGGTGCGAGTGCCCTTGTAAGTCTGATGGTTTTGGCTCCTTTGACATCAAGTTCTTAGTAATGACTTGCCTTATGAATCAACCCCGGGCATGAGTTTGTTGCATCCGGTGTTTTGGTCCCAGGGCCGGCGGAGCAGGGCGCCAAGAACCAGGCTCGGCGATAAGGTCGCACCGGGGCCCTGAAGCTGTCGAAAGCAAAGACCTGGACGGGTCATCTTTCTTACAGCTTCGATCACCCACATCTCTTCAAACAACCGGCCGCTGTGCTTTGCGATTTTGGTGGTTCTCGGGAGCGGACAAATGGAAGCGTTTTCTTCGGGCTGGGCGGGGGAAGCCCATCAGACCGAATGCATGCCAGGCGCTGGCGTGCTCGAGTTGCAGGTGCCAGGTGCGCCAGGGCGGGTGCCGATTTGTTTTGCCAACACTTGGAGACGTATACGCACGTGGCTCCGGTTTTTGAGGCTTGGACTTCTTGGGATGGTTCCGGAAACCGAAAGGAATCCAACCATTTTGGAGGTTCTTCTATTTGAGACCAATCCAAGCATAATAATATATATATATATATATAATTATTTTGCAGTGTTTAAAAGGGGTGTCTTCGAGTCTTGGACTGGTCGCGAAGCAGAATGTGCCATTACTCCCTGCGAGTCCCCCAAGAAGAGCTTCCTTAAAAAACAAGGATGGCTGCTTTGGGTTCCATGTTGCATTCTTGGTGTGGTATTTCAACCGGTGCAGCAGTGCACTCATCAGGCATCACTTGGAAGCGAAAGTGGTACCCTGAAGGTCGTGAGCACGCCAACATGGAGTTTTCTCCCACGGTGAAGCCTGGGACCACCTTCCCATGGCTTTCTCGTCAAGAATGACTCCTCACCCTTGTCTATTCAGTTTGCTCTAAGTCTCAGTCAGATCTGCCCTTTCTGTGCGAAATCTTGCGGCAGGGCATGCGTCATGCTGAGTGAGGTTTTCGCATAGGCCAGCGCTCATGGTATTGGAAGCGCAAGCGCTACGCCCATGGCACTGCCTGCCAACAAAACATTACCTCCTCTTGCAAATGTTGATCCCAAAGGGTTTTCCTTTTCGCAGGTTCCGCACGTCCGGAAAGGGGTGGTGTCTTGTGGTCGGTTCCTTTGAATCGGGTCCCGAAAAGTACTCAGGCACCAACCTGGCGGAGCAGGCCACGTTCTCGGGGAAGATGCTGCTGCGGGTCTTCTCGGAGGCCTCCCAGCCTTTCCTTTGGGCGTGTCGGGGGCGGGATAGGAGAGATGCACAAAAAAGGGGCAAAAGGGGGCTGTTTGGGCTTGTTTCCTTGTTTTCTATTTTTGTTTGTTTGGAGCGCTGCTGGCTTGTTGTGTGTGTGTGTGTGTGTCTTTTTGCATGGTTGCTTTTCGAAGGAGCTCTGTTTTGCGGGAGTGCCAAAGAGAGAGACGTGGCGGGGAGCGGGGGGGGGGGGTCGGTGCCACTGTTTTTTGGTGTCTTTGTTGAGTAGTCATCATGTTATTGTTAGTGGTAAACATGGTTAAGTTTTTCATTATTTTTCTCACATGCAGCTAGGAGGTACATCTAGCAGTAAGGGTTGCTACTTATCCACATATTGAACAGCATGCCTACTAGTAGATGACATAGTATTTTATTAAGATGTGGGTGTCATATACAGTATATTTGTAATACATCTATGTATTGGGATTATTTAGATCACATGTCTTTATATAGGATTTGCAAAGGGTATGTTCAAGTGTTGTCTGTTTTAGATAGTGTATGCATACATATGTATATATATATACATACATGTCTAGGGGCGTTATCCTTTCTCAACAAACACGCAGCGCGTAGCATTCACTTGGACTTTTGGAGGGGCAGAGGCAACTCTCTTTGTGTCTCCGCACCGTGGGCAGGACACCCCGGCGGCGGAGCCCACGGTGCGGCGCTGCAGTGCCGCGGAGGTCTTGGAGCACGTGCTGGGCGTTCTGAAGACAGGCCGAAGGGCCGGACCTGGGAGGATCTTTTTGGCTGGAGCTACGGCCAGTTGCTCGTTGGTGGGGTTGGGTGGGTGGCTGCCTGGCTGGTGGGTCGTTCAGTGGGTGGGGTTGGCTGGTTGGATGGTTGGCTTGCCTGCTTGCTTGCTTGCTTGCTTGCTTGCTTGCTTGGTTGTTGGTTGGGTGGATCGATCGGTTGGTTTGTCGGTTGGTGGGTGAGTGGTTACTAGGTCGGTCGGTCCGTTGGTGCGTCGGTCGGTCGCTTTCTTGGTGTGAGGGTTGCTGAAACGGACTTTCGCCAGACCCTAGCCTCTTTACGGATTCTACGACCCTAGAATGACTAGGCACCCCAATCACGTTTCGGGCGCAAGGGGAACACCCCCTAAGTAGTCCACTTATGTAGGTCCGGGATAGTTGTGGCGTTTTTTCAGGGGGCACTTCTTGGGGGATAGCTAGTTAAAGCAAGAAGTCAATAAGAAGCCATCCATTTTGATGGTTCCCCCAAGTAGAGACGGACTCAGGTGGTGTCCACAAGTGCATGAAAAAAGAGCCTCAACCATCGATTTACAATGGGCTGGATGCGCTTTCGTCCACAACTTTGTTCGAGGGCGTGGAAAACGAGGCTTTGGGGTTGGGAGCGAACAAAGTTTTCAAGACGGGTAATAACAACGATAGGCGACGGCAATCAACTGCCACACATGGTCAAACGGTACACACACACACACAGGCGTGAACATGGGCTTCGATCAATTTTGCCTGATGGTTGCAACGCGACATTGGCATTTTGTTGAACATAGGAACATCCATATCATTTCTGCAGCCAGACTTCTTGAGTCAATTGCATGCTAGACATTAGCCAGACATACGATGAATAAATAGTTGTTTGCTAGAGGAGCGTAGGCTGGACAATTAGGACCCAGAGGAGTACTGCCTATTAGGACCATGCTGGAGTTGGGCCAATATTTGTCCTAAGCGTCTCACACGAGACCCTTTCTTGGCGTTTGATGCTGCGTTCCAAAAGTATCAGCTGGGGCTTGGGAAAGACGCAGCGCTTTGTCTTTTTTGTTCAAGCTCTTCATCTTCCCCGGATCGCTTTGCCGTTTCTTCTTGTACCATTTTCTTCCTGTGTTGCGCGCAGTCTAAAAAGTAACCTTGATTGTGCTTTGACGCGTGCGAGACGCAAGACGGGCAGGGCCGAAGGGTCAACACGCGGTTCACCTGCATCTCTGAAAGGTTGCGGAAGGCAGATTGGTTTCAAGTTTGCTTTCCAAGAAACGCAGTCAACCCCATAAGCAGATCCAGCTGGACGATTCGGGCTGGGTGCCGAGGCGCGGAGTCCGTGAACCTGGTCTTGGGTTCGGCACCCAGAGCCAAGGAGGGAGAAACTCTTTGGTGTTTTTTCTTCTGCACATGAAGTTCTCGTTTTTTGGTCACATAAAAACAGGCTAAGGGGGTTGTAGACATTGCGGCCGAGATCTCGCCACAGTGAAAGCAAGAAAGAAATGCCGGAGCGATTTTGCGGGCATCGTTTGTCAGGAAGCTAGTTTTGCCAGACAGGTTCATATTTTTTTGTTTCTTTGGGAGGCACAGGTTGATAGGGCCATTTCAGCAACGTGTCAGTGTGATAAGCACTTCAAAAACCAGTGGCTTCGCTCAACTTTTGGCGCACACGTAGTGCGCGAGGGCAATGTGTGGAAGCAGGTTCCTCTCGTCTGAGTGGTATAGCCACTACGTATATAAATATCAGAAACACTAGTTTCTCTGCGGGTCGTAGTTTCCAGTGGTTTATTGGGATATCAAGGATGCACTTTGGTTCCAGGTTTTGGTTATGACTCAAGTTGTTTCAGGCTTGTCCAAAGGTCAGTTGGGAGCAGTGCCAGCAGCTCTCTATGTTGCTAAGAAGAATGATCGCCTTGTCTACACAAGAGCGACTGGTACATAGACATTTATATGTATATATGTAAATACACACATATACCTGGATGATATAAGTCTCTCCGTATATATATATATATATATATGTACGTGTAAATTGCTGAATATATTCCCTTCTTGATCTCCGCCACAGGCGTGACTGGGATGTTGCGTGAGGTGCCGGGTCAGTTGTCGGAAGTTTAGCTGGAGGCTACGAGATGCTGCAGCTCAAGTACGACAAGATGGACGTGGTCAACGAGGCGGAGCACCGCACCAGGCAGATGGGCAGAAGCCGAATCGCCGTGGGCAGTTGGGATGGAGACCCCAGAAGTGGAGAAGCCACCTACCATTTGGTGCAGGAGTTTCTCCAACGGTAGCACATCCAGTTCGCTCAGTGTCTCGATCTGGATCTGACAGTCTTCCGCAGAAAGAGCCGTGGTCTCATGCCATGTGGATCATTACGGGAACCCGAGGGCAGGCCAGGATTGGTCCCATCGTCACCCTAAACCAACTCTAAACCAAACCTAGATCAGCCCTAAACCAACCCTAAGCCAACCCTAAGCCCATCCTAAACCCACTGGCACTTTTTGGACTTCAAATACATCACGCTTTGCAGGATCAAGTTTTTGTTTCTGATGACTTAGATCTCCGGCAAGGATGCGTTGCCAAGCAAAGGCGGTTAGGGGTCGCCCGCTGCCCGCCCTGGCAGCTTGCTTGGTTGGGAGTTGTGCCCAGCCTCCTTTTCACATTGGAGGGGAATTTTGTTTTTCCGCTTTTTTGTTTTCCCCCGCCCAATTCCTCTCCGGCGGCTTTGGCGGCCGACATCCTCAGCACCAACTCCTCTCCGGCAAGTGCTCTTTATGTTTATGTTTATGTGTGTCTGCATGTATGTAATCTATGTAATTTATGTAATCTATGTATGCATGCATGTATGTATGTATGTATGTAATGTATGTATGTATGTATGTCTGTACGTATGCACTTCTTCGAACATCATAGGAGACGCCCCTCCCCTCCCACACCCCCCCTCCCCCGGCTGCTTTTTGTGTTCTATCGCACCCTTTCTTGAATCATTGCGCCCCTAATTGAATCATCACTTCTTCGAACTTCGATGGGGGGGCTGCTGCTCCCCCCCAACCTACTTTTTAGTTGCAGGGTTTAATTGCAGCCCTGTTTGAATCATCACTTCCTCCAACATCATGGGGGGGGCTGCCGCCCCTCCCTGATCAGATACTAAGTCTATGTTTGCAACGCGTTCCATTTCAAAATAAGGACCCCCCCCCCCAACCGATGGCAGGCCATGGATTGTGACCCACTATGCCTGGGGCCCGGTCCGTCCGTGCCTCAGGAACGGGGCCCTTCCCACACCGGGGAAATCATGTATAGAGGGGCGCCCGAATCGGTGTGGGGCTTGTGTATCCTTTTCACGTGCGTGACTTTTGTTGAAGGTTATCGTGGAACAAACACCGGCCTTCCGAACCAGCGATGGTCGAAAACAGTCGAACATGTTCTTTTGGGCACGGAGCAAGCGAGCCGCAAGCTAGGGCACTTCCGCCTGTGGCCGGAGCCGGATCCTCTTCAGAAGCACTTCGACATGATGGCCAGCAGCAAGAGGCAGGGGTGGAGGGTGAGGTGTCGACAAGGGACTGTGATGAAGATGAGATGCCCAAAGATTGGGCCTGATTCGCCTTTTCCTTGTATTCTGAAATGGCATAGGCTGACTGCGTGGCCTCTGGATATGTGGGTCCCTCTGGCGCATCCGTAGGGGCGTCGGCCCAGGAACGCGGAGCACGTCCAGCAGCAGATCCTGCACAAGCTGCGGCGTGCCTCCACTCCGCCACAGGAGGTGGGGGTCAAGCAGAGAGCCATCTCACTCCTGCAGGGAGGCAGCGATCTTTGTGCATATTTGTATGCCCCCCCCCCTCAATGGTCATGCTCAGTCAAGAAGGTAGCACAGTGCGACCGTACAAGCCGCCCCGCCCCCCGTGGGATGGGTGGGGGTTCATGGTTCCCACCAGTAGTGACAGATGCTTCACTTAATTTTCCTTCAAAAAATCGTCTTCTTGTACGTTCAATGAACGACAAAAGCCAGTACCATCTGTTGTTCAGAATGATTATCATCCTGACTCTGACCCATGAGTGGTTGCAAAGCGGTTGGCGGTTGGTGTTGCTTAGTTTTGTAAGCGGTCATGAAAGTCATGAGTCAACGACCGACCCACACATATGCCCGACACCCCCAAATTTGGGAGGTGTTCCTCCGCTAGGGCCCGCCATGCCCGCAGCGGTCTGTAAAATGGTTGGTTTCCTTTGAATACCAGCTAAGGGGGGGGTCCAGTCCAGCATTTTGAGCAACTCTCACATGGAAAACCCCTGTGAAGCAGTGGCTTGCACGCCACGCGCTTCCAGGCACGTGCTCCTGCAATCACTGAGATCATATTGCATTGCAAGCCCAAAGTCATAGTGGCAATGCCAATGCTGGCGATGCTGGCAGTGCTGGCCGATGCTGGCAAACTGATGCCGAGTGCCTTTCATGCCAAACCCCCCCTCAAGGAGCAGGCTGGGCGTCATGACATCCCGTAGGTGGAACGCTTCCTGGAAAGCACCGGTGGCGAGGGATCGGACAAGGCGGTCCGTGGGAGGGCGGAACCCTTCCTGAGAGCTGCTCCGAACCACCCCGGAGCCTTTTTGCGAGACGGCGTAGCTTTCAGTTTGGGACAAGCATCGCAACTTCACTGTTCTTGGGGGTAAAACAACCCAGTAGTTACCTGGCAATGCCCTGCAGGTAATTTGGTGACCCAATCAGAACCAGCGATTTCACGGGGGGGGGGGATGTCAACATTGGACAAATCTGGAAGACCATTCTATTCAAGAGTCGTTTGCCGTTCTGATGATGGTGCTTCCTTTCTTGCAGAGTCTTAGAGTTCAGTTTGGCGAAGGCTTAGAGTTCACGCAGAGCTGGTTCGACTCCTGTTTGCGACTTAAGGGACCATCTTCTCCAACACCCAGTCTCCCTTGGCTGTGCAAGCTGTTTTCGAAATGGAAAGGGCTTCACTCGTGAGATCCCCAGACTCCGAAGCTTTGTCAGTTTGGGAATCTGCCACGAAGATTCGAGCTGCTTTTCCCAAGAGTCCGAGCGCCTTTTCAATTCAGCTCAGCGCATCAGCGCACATGCTCTCATGTTCCTCTCAGTCTGGTGGGTTGCCGTGTGTCTTTTGAAGCGGCTTGCTGCACCATGTCCGAGAGCGGTCAAACACTCAAGATGCCATCGAGCCGCTCCAGTAAACCACGCACAACATCAGGCCAGGGTAAGCTGGTGGCAAACCAGCGCTTTTGTCCATGCGCGGCGGATATGGGGTTGTCCTGAAATAAGCTCAAAAATAAGCTCAAACATGTGATCTACGCCTTGGTTTCCCTTTGCAGCCCAAGAATCAAAAAACAAGATTCACATATCAAAGTCGAAGAGAAAATCCAGTGGCGGTTTCTGTGTACGAACGGCGCAGGGCTTGGTCGATGCCAAGTCCGACAAGCTTCTGCGCACCTTGGCGACGCGTTTGGCGATGAATTTTGGGGGGAGTGGCAAGCGATGGAGTCAGGCCAGGTTGATTTGGCCATGAGGTTTGCTGGGGTTTCCTCCAAAGCTGTTGAATGTTTTGGGGTAGACTGCTTGTTTTTGGTGTCCACTGCAAATCTGTTTCAAGGAGCTATGGAGCCCGAATCGCCAAAATCACGCAGTGAAGCAGAGCCGAGGCCAGGCTTCATTCCGCCGTTTGGCAGGCGAGTCATCGCACTCGCCTTGGTTCAAGCTGGCTAGCGCATTTGGAGTCGTGTTCCATCCTAACGCTCAGCTTTTTTTCCTCCAGGAAGCATCACACACCAGCGGCTGACAAGATTATTTGGCACTTCCGCAATGCCGCGCTGGGTCAAGGTGGATGTGGAGGTCCCCTCAGCCTACAAAGGCATCATCATCGGCAGAGGTGGGGAGAAGGTGAAGGAACTGCGACAAAAGTTCCAGGTCACTGTCGAATTTCCGCCCGGGGACACCGGGGAGCCCGTGAATGTCTGGGGCAAGGAGGAGAGAAACTGCCGGAAAAAGCGGACGTGTTGGCACCTTGTTTTATGAGCAATGCCCTCGGCAGCTGTTGAGCTAACCAGTTGAAGGATTGCGCTTAAAAGAACCCATGCCCATTTACCTTTTGTTGTCGAGTGTGACGACACAACAGGCGTTCACAGAGTCGTCAGCTTTCGGTGTGTCAGGCTGTATGTTTAGAGGTTCCTCACAATCGTGGGAATGGCTTGCACAAGTCACGCACGTCTGCTCAGTTTGAGAAGACTTAAGAGGGGTGTTCACAAGTGTCCTTTGTTTGAACCTGACCCCTAAGGGGAAATCACGGGAACCCTTTCCGGCCCAATTCGCAAATGAGCCTGACGCAACAAGAGGGTTGCTCCAGATCAGCTTTTGGAGCACCCATTCTGGCTTGCCTTCGGGCAAACTTGGTTCAGCAAGACCTGGTCTCCCAACCGAACCCCCCACTCTACCATTCTACTCCAATCCTAGCCCCAACCCACCCTAAACCAACCGGAAGCAAACCCTCTTCCAACCCTCAACCCACCATAAACCAGCACCAAACAACCTAAAGCGCAGCCAAATCATCCAGCATTCATGTATATGTTTACAAACCCAAAACCATCTGAAACCAACCCAAAACCAAACCAAAACCAACCCAAACCCACCCTAAAGAACCCCTCAGCCTGCCCAAGCTTGAGCTAAACAAGCCCTAAACCCACCCTAAACCCTTGAACCCACTCTAATTCCAGCTCAAACCAAAGCCAACATGATGCTGAGAGTGTTGAACACGATTGCGGGGCATGATAAAATGCGGCCAGGGATGTTGACAGCGCTGGTGCAAAACCTGCATTTTGTTCGAGCATGCACCGCGAGTCAAAGCAAACAGAGCATCCTGAGTTGAATCTCGGTCAACTGAACTCCAACAGACGTTGTCATGCCGGTTGCAACAGCAAGGCGGGAAGTAAGAGTTGTCAATGATTCCTTCTAAAATTGTCCTCTAGTCACACTTCTCGGCCTTGGGAGACAAGCAGTTGGCACACATGGGTGTTTCTCAAGTAGTGGTCCCCCAAAAATGGTTGGTCTACTTTTGGTTGCCCTTTGCAAGAGGAGAGCAACCTGGGAGCTGGGTTGCTAAGATGCCGAGGCAGGCTAAAAAGGAATCTCTTGCCAACAGTCATGGACGTAGATGGGACTGGAGAATGACGTCCTGGAAGTTTTATAGCAAGCAAACATGTCCCTGCCACAAGTTTTCCCCGAGGGCGTCGCAGTTGGAGACATTTTGTTCGATCCTGGGATGGTGGTAAGTGGGTTGTGGAGTAAGAGGGTGGGATTGTGGGTGAGGTGCTGCCTTTGAATTTCACGTAGTGGTTGCTTGTTTGCAGCTAGCAGCGACAAACAGCTCACTCAGCTGGCGAGGTGGGTTTTGAAGACTACCTTCATCTCCAGAAAAACAATACATTAGTTACTTCTGTGATTGTTTGAAGCTCTAGGTTGGGTTTATGTCCAAATGGGGGGTGACCCAGAACTGCGTTGGTTTGCTTTCGGTTCCCTCTCAGGAGCAGAATTGCAGGGACTGCGCTGAGGAGATCAGGGCCTTGATGGAGAGCCACAGCCTTCGGCCGAAGACAAAGCCCAGAGCCAGGCAGGCCCACGGCGCCGCTGCCGCTCCGCATCCCAAGCGATGCGACCTCTGCGAGGCCGGGATCAGTTCCTTGCGTGGCGCGCTGCAGCATTTGCGCGGCTCCAAACACCTGCAAAAGCTGTGCGAGGGGCGGCCTCAAGTGGTCAAGCTTTTGCGTCCAAAAGGAGGAGATGACGGGGAGGGGCAGAAGAAAGAGGAGGAGAAAGAGGAGGAGGGGCAGAAGAAAGAGGAGGAGAAAGAGGAGGAGGGCTCTGTCTGCGTCCCGCCAGGGGGCTGTTGCTTCTCAGCTCTGGAGGAGCTGCTCAGAATGCCGGACATTCGGGTGTTGCACGAGGAGCTGGGATTCAGAGCAGGTGGGATGCGTTTTTTTCTTTTTTCTCCCTGTTTGGGATGCCCCCTGTTGAACCACTGTTGGAATGATTTTGAGGATGAACACTTTCAGGCCAACGTCTTTGGCAGCCAACGGCTTGCCACAAGTTTGGTCGGTTGAGGTGCCCTCCTCTCGGCCATCCCCCTCGAGCAGCAGAGGGAGGAGCGGCTGAGGTTGCTGGCAGCAGAGGTGGCCACGTTCAGTGCGGATGCGGCCTGGCTGCGGGTCAGGTCCCGCATGCTGATCCGCTGGGATGATGTGGCAACGAAGGACACCCGGAGGAGCTGGGGGGCGAGGGGTTGGGAGGGTTGTGGGGTGTGACAAACATGGTTTGTCTCATGAACAACCCGTTCCTTAGATTTGCCTGAAAGATAGCCCAGAACAGCGGCCTCAAAGACCAGACACACGCATGTGACGCTCCCCTTCTTTGGGCTCTGCCCCAAAACGGGGCGCTGTTTTGGACCACCTGACATTTGGCGGGCAAAGGGGCACATGCTGAGTCTATTGCTGCTGACGTCCTGAACTGGCATCTTTGAAGGTGAAGGTCCACAGAAACCTTACACAATCCAATGTTAGTATACACGTGCAAATTTGCATGCACAAAGCCTCACTGGGCAGTTCTTAACATGGTGGATCCATGTTTGGTTGGTATCTTCAAGGAAGCTAACAGGAAACGGTTGCCATTTTAGGGGACCGATGTCTGTTTTGAGAAACACCTCTGCAAAGGACTCCCAGGACGACTGCTCCCAGCCTTTTCGACATGATGGACCGCATCGCATTGGGCGCACCGCCACAAGCGCGGGTCCCTTCACTGCCTGCGCCGCTGCCTGGTGTGGACCCAAAGCATCACACGAAGAATGCCAACAGAGGCGGGGCGTAGTGCCATTGTGTTTACATCATTTTAATCTGGGGACTGAAATGGTGGACTTCATTTGGGCGTGTGTGCTTTTTGAACGCCCCGCTTTCACGCCCTTGGTTTACAGTGAAATGAAGCCGAACGCCGCCATGTTTGGGGTCCTTCCTATTTTGACGCTACCCATTCAAATTCGTTTCCATAGGAGTCTTACTCTTTCACCAGCAAGCAGAGACATGAGCAGGAATTCTTCGCAAAAGGAAGCCAGGTTTCCGAAGGTTCTTTTTGCAGAGAATTCTTACTTGCCAGAATTGAGGGAATTCGCCAATTGCTTTGTCACCCCCTAGCGAGGGTAGAACAAGGGCCGCCATGTATGCCAAACAGGGTGGCTAGCAAAAAAGATGGCCACCGATTCTCCGAAGCTGATGAATGATTTGCGCCAATTTGCATCCAGCACTGCCAGGGTCGCAACGGGGCAACCTGATAGGTCTCCAGAAGTACCCGGAGGAGCCTGGTAGCGGCAGACTGGGCCTCGCACTTATGCAGAAGCTCGGCTGGAATGAATCCTTCGACTTTGTCTGCGGGACGTCTTTCATCAAAGCGTTGGCAGGCGGGGTATTGGCAAAAAGTCCCTGACAGGGCCCGGTCGGCACAATGACATCGAACGTCTTCTCTTTGAAGCAAAAACGAGGGGCCGAACTTTGGCACAGGTGACAGCACCAGGCTGAAGGACGCATATTACCTGCAGCGCTTCAATGACACTGTGTGCGTCTTGCACATCCGGTCGCATTTTCACAGCCAGAATGAGGCTGGCCACGCGGTGGAGCGGCTGCTGTGCGGTGCAGCTCCAAGCTACTTGGAATGACGGCTGTCGACCATCCCCTGTGCTTGGCTCCGTTGATTTAAGCGCGCCGTGTCGTGCATTTTCCAAAAGCGCGGACAGAACATGTGCATTTTCCCTGTTTTTACACGAGGGTTCACCACTTTGCGCCAACCGGACTCGTCGGGGGTAGTTTTGATCCTGCCAAATGATATCTACTGCGCTACTGCGCACACTTGAAGAGCAGCCGCCTACCACATGACAGGTACACCTGCTCGACTACTTGTGGTTTCCTGTAGCGTAACCAGGTTTATCCCAAAACCCCCTGGAACCAGCTTGTGCTTTTTGAGGCTTGGTACCCTTTTCAGGCAGGTCTCAAGGGAATAAAAGGCACCACCTCTTTTTAGATCCCCCTTTTTACGGTGCGCACACACACACACACATGCCTACCCTTCTTTCGGTTGCTTCCTGGGGTGCGGGCCATCCAGTGTATTCCGGACCCTTTGGATGAGATTCAGCCGGATATCGAAACTTCTACCAGGAATGACCCCAAGCTGAACCATCGCAGGGGATGTTCTCAAGACCCCAGGCTACTGCTTGGCAGCCACATCGCTTTCAGTGGGCGACACCACCTTCCTGGTGACCAGCGAGGTGGATGCAACTGACGCGGCGGGAGACTTGGTGGAGCTGAAAAGCTCGAAGCACGGACAGGCGGCGGTTCTGCAAAATCGGGCTTTATGGGTTGGTTGGTTTCGGTCTTCCTTTGAAACTGAGACCTGCCCAGATGAGTGACCAAAACCAGCGGTTTGGGGTGTGTGGATGGTTCCACTTGTTTTCGTGGGGGACAATTTTCAGGCCTATGTATTATTCCTTGAATCACTATGCTGCTAGAAGTGGATGTCCACAACTTTTCTTTTTGCAGGGGCACTTGACTCAGACGTCTCCATATCCCCCTTTTGGTAGCCGTAAGCATCACTATTTTGACCCATTTATGGTGAGTTTCTCTTGGTAGGATAGATGTTGAGGGGAAGTATAGGGAACAATGGGACACCTCTAGTGGTTGATTGCCAAGACATTTCGAACCGCAGGGCTTCATGTCCGCGGCCAACGTGCTGCAGATCACCATCAACGGGTCCCAAACAGTGTGGGGCTGCTGTCTGGATGAAGCTTTGCTCGGCAGATTAACCTTGTGAGAGTTTCTTAAAATGATGGACCCCTTTTGGTTGGTATTGAACGGAAACAAAAGGAAACCAAACCATTGTAGGAGACCCCCTATTTTCAGAGCCCCCCCTTTGAACCTTTGAACGATGACTACTTCCCTGCAAACTCGAGTTTCTTTCCCACTGACATGGAACCCATCAGAAGGCACTAAGAGGAAGGGATCCACTCGGGTTCCATATTACTGGGTGGAAGGGTTCACTGTGTTTGCAGGTCTGCAACCTTTTAAACTTTTAACCTTGGTACTTCCCTAATCACTAGCAACAAGTTTCACTCTTCATCACTTCATCTTCATCCGGTCATGTCACCCTCCAAACCACACCTCCAGTTTGGGTTGATTTTAGTCCTGCCCACGTTGTGGTGTGGGTGCTTGGGTCTCCCCAACGTCGACCTCCAGGTTACCCTTAGTTGGTTGGTTGGATCGTTGGTTTGAAGCCCCAAACCGCCCTCCAAACCGGGCTTCAAGCCACTAGGGAAGCCAACCATGTGCCAGTAGCTTTGTAAGTGCCAATCTGGTTAGGATCTTTGGACACGCTCAGTGCTTGGACTTGCACCCGTGCCTTGGGGGCCTACCCGTTTCAATCAGGAAGACTCCACCCGGCTGCTGGAGGTTCGGCGCTTCAGCGCGGAGGAGGCGCGGCTAAAGCACGCGCAGAGCTATGTGAGCCAGGGCCAGCACTTCCGCCTGCTGCTGGGCAAGGCGTGGGGAAGCCGTCCAGAAAAACGGTCAGCCAAGCACCATGTTGTGGGAACACCTGCAAGTTGGCGAAGTAACACCCCTTCAAAACTACGGTCAAACTAGGATACCCTAACATACTTGGACAGTTGGGCTTGTTTGTGTTTCTTTGAGGGAAAGCAACGAGGAGACCACCTATTTTCGAGGTTCCCTTTGACACACACACCCAGCTAGGTGTTAGGCACATTTCTGCGATACCAAGTGACAAGGTGGGTAGAGGGATGGGAATCCCACTATCACAGAGTTCGCGCGATACAACCACGGGGCAGGTGCGAGACCACCTGAGGGAAAGCGAGGAGCAACAATCGCTGGTGTGGAAGCTCACCTTTGATGATTGCGACTTAGGTCAATGCTGGGCTCCGTTTTTTGTTTTTGTTTTTTTTGGTCTGGCACGCGGGGGCCCTGTCGGAATTTTGGTTCACCCTTGCTTTCTTTTCCCTTGTGATACCCAACCTCAGTTTAGTGGCACCTCAGGTTCGAAGGTTGGAATTTTGTTAGAACAAAGCTTCCCCTAAACGAACCATTCCTGGTTTTCTTCCGACAATCCAAGGCAGGTTGAATGGACTGTTGGTATGGACCGCTGGCCATCTTGCAGTATTTTGGACAATGGGGTAGCCATGCATGCCGACTGCAAAGGGGCTATATGGTATGTAGTCACGGGGACAAGGTGCCCATACCGGTGGCCCATACCATTTCGTTTGGCAAACGTGCACTCAGTGACTCAGGTAAGCTCCCGCTCTGGCATGTGGCGGACGTGCAGGTCCTGCCAGACGGCCTGCTGTGATTCGCTCGCATGCCGCTGCTGTCACGATGAAAGGAGCGCGCGAAAAGAGGATGGGGGCAGGGATGAAGGGCCTTTCATTTTGCGTTTGTTTTCGTTGCAGTTGTGGTTGTGGCCCTAAGTAATGGCGCCCAACTCGTACATTTTATGAGAGGGGTATGTACTTCTTCCTTGTTAAAACTACTGTCTGCTGCTAGCCAGCTAGTGCATTTCCAGGGGGCTTGAACTCCCCACTCATCCGGCTGGAGCTTCCTCGTTTGGTTTGGCCCGAGGAATGATGGCACGTTCAGCAACGACCAGAGGCTTCTGGGTACAGGAGACAGACGAGGCGCGAGCAATCAACCTGCGTGTCTCTGTTTCACGGGAGAGGGACAGGGAGTCAGTTGCTCACAGTAAACGCATGGTGGTTTCCGGGAGTTGAGCTGGGATTTGGGTGAGCGCATACCGCACTTGCGCACGCCAAGTCGCGCACTTCAGGATGGAATTCCAATTATATAGGTGTATTCTATCCCTTTGAAGAGGAGGATGCTGGGCTCCTGACTCTTGATAAGTACGTAGCCGTTATGACCGAAACGCTGGTTAGGCATCACCTGATGTATTCCTAGCTGACGCGCGGCGTCCTTCCGTTTCGCATTGAGGTCTTTTGTGCTTCCGTCTAGAGTCTCAAGGAAAAAGTCATGCTTCTCAAGAATCATCACTTTCACAGTTTTGGCTCACCTACTAGGTATTGAAGTGCAATATGGGCATTTCCTCACAAGTCAGCAGAAGCGGATTCCCACAAGAACCGCTTTCACGAGGGTCCAGCACCACCAAAGGCAATTAAAATTCACAGCCGTTTGGTTGGTATTTTAAGGGGAAGCAAAGGACACCGTTGCCATTTTTCTGGACCGATACTTATTTTCAGAAACATTGACCCTGATCGGTTCTCAGCGCCAATCGACTTCTGGATGGTACCCTTTCTGTGGTGTGATTTTTTAGAGGAGAACAACCACACAACAGACCCAAACGTGCCAAGGGCGTCCTTTTTCGTTTCCAATTAAACCAACCAACACAACTCGCGGTTCTTGGCGTGTTTGGAGGTTCTTGTGTTTTTTTTGGTTCGGTTCATTTTTAGTGGAGGTCCGCTTTTTGGTTTCCGGTTTTTTCGCCAATGGGTTGGGAAGTATCCCAAAGAACATGAGATCCAGCCCCGCCTCGAGTCCTTCCAGCCGCTGGACGGCAATGTGGCGACGGAAGTCAAGGGCAGGACTCGGCGCTGGGATCGGGGGCCTGGCGGGATCGCGGGATCGCGGGATTGCGCGCACCTGCGTTTTCTGACCTTCAAGGAGTCAGCGCCAGAGTGCGACCTGTTGAAACGGGTGGACCAGTTTGCAACATGGTGACTCACCGTTCCTGGCGCAGAGCTCTATTTGTTCGGACATGTCGTGCAGCCCCGCATTCCCCTCACAAGCGCGTGGTACGCTTGTGGAACATTTCACAAAGTTTCAAATGCCAACGCAAGCTTTTGACATTGCACGCATGTGTCATATTTTTTTGCTTAAAAGAGAGCAGATTTGTCACGCAGTATGTTTTCAAGGCCGGCCTGGAGTGAGCTCTCCCGGTTCCCTTTTGGGTTGCAAGGTTCCGTGGTTGGGACTTGGGCTTTCCGGTACGGAGCTGACCTGCGCCGCTTTGGGTCAAAGGCCACGCGGGCCTGCAAGAGGGGGGGTCAAAGGCCGGGGTCCTGTTTTTTGTTGGGGGACAAATATTTTTTTGTTGCGGGACAAAACTCGCAGGGCAGGGCGCAAGTTGTTTCCTTCCGGCTGAATCCGAAGTTGACATCATGCAGGCCGTGCGGCGATGGATTTTTCGGCCTTCCGCAGGAAGTTCGCCCCACAGCCGCCGAAGGGGACCCACATCGACACGGTGGACCGGATTCTGAAGGCCAAGCTGCAGATCGGCATGTTGGATAACCGGGGTCTCTTCAGCATTAAGTTCTATTTGCAGGGTTGACCAAAAATGAAGCAGTACCTGAACATACTTTTTTTCGTGTGCCCCAGTTGTGGGCCAAGTTGAGGGGAAGCAAAGGTAGCCCCACCATTCAGACTCAATTGACTGCTCAGATGGGGTTTGCTCCGCACTGAAGCTGGAGCCGGGCCAGTTGAGTCCAGTGAGGGTCTTGCATCAGTCTCTTGCATCTGGGTCTGTCCTGTTTTTGGTGGCGTGGCCGGTTGGTTTCGACGGAAGCTTCTTGGGGTAACTTCCCCATTCTTTCCAGGGATCCTTCTTTCTAGAGAACCACGAAACACCCTGAGAAATGGCGATCGGTTTTTGAAATAAAAAATCGATGGCTGAAACGAATGGACAAGGAATCAACCCCTAGAAAAAGGAGTTCCCTAGTTTCAGACCACAACCCGTGGTGTGTCAAACAGGGATTGGACCCAACCAAGTTTCCCTTTAAAGCAACCAGGAAAAGGAATCCACCTCTAGAACAGATGCACTTTTATGGAGGGTTCCTTTTTTTTGGAGGGAGGGGGCAGGAATTGGTTTAGAGGGAAACCAAAAGGAAACCACCCCTAGGAAGCTTCCGTCTCCCGTCCCAAAGCGGGCGCGGGCGCCCGGTCGAGAGGCCCTGGTGCGGCAGCTGCAGGCTTTGGCCTCCGAGGTGGCCAACTGGCAGCTGCTCATCGACTGGGAGCCGAATGGGAGCGGCGTTGAGCCAGGTGAACCCCGGAAGTCAAACTGGTTGAGATTGGGGGGAGCAACCCCTTTTGGTTGGATTCAAACCACTTTTGGAGGGGGTTTCCACCACGGGTTTATTAATCCTGGGTCAACCTTAGGTTCTACATAGGCTCTAAAAGCGGGGCAAGCCAGTGATGGGTCAGGAGCTTTGTCTCCCGCCAGCTTAAAAGCAATATGGAGGGGGCCCTGATTTGATGGGTTCCCATGAAAGATCCCGCCACTTGAGGCTGGTATCAGAGTGGGTCTAGGGCACAAGCTTCTTGAATAACTTCTCTTTGGTGCCCTTTTGAATAAAAGATCTGGGAATAGCAACACCTGATCCCTTCTTCTTGGCGTGACACGATCCCTTCTGGACTGGGAGCTGATTTCCAAACGACGCCCTGTGGTTGAAAGGAAACGGCCAGCTGGCATTTCTGATTTTGATATTCCCAACTCATTTTGGTACTCTTGCATGGTGAAACGCAACCTTCACAAAGCTGCTGTGTGGAACGACCCACGTGGAAATGTGTCAGACAGAACTGGGGACATTGACAATGCCAGCAACCCCGCGTCACAACCTCCCCCCCTCTCTTGTGTTCGTATCAAAGTACGGACACCTGGGGTCCCTTGCGATAAGGGTACCACAAGCTTACAAGCGCTATGGCCAATCGAATCATTGGTCGCCTCCCGAGAGTTTTCTCAGGTCCGTGTTTCCAAGATTTGGCTACCATATCCATATTCTCTTTCCCCCCTGCGCTACCTCGCAAATCGAGTACACCAGAGGAGCCTCGCTTTGCCAAGAGCATCAAAGAGTGTCTGCACGAGGCTCAGCGCATGCGGATGATGGGCACCTTGGCCTCGGTTTTCAGGTTCACCCCACTGATAATCAAGCCTGCAATGATTTAATCTAGATGCACCACCACTTTGCATTTGCTCGCAAAGGGTTGGGACATGGGCTTTTCGCAGATGCTCTTGGTGCACTGTCGCTTGCATTGGGAGGAGCCATCGATGGGTTTCCAGGTCCGTGGAAACAAACAAACCAGCCGGCAGCAGGAGGGGGATATGACTCCCAGCAAACGACCCTGATTTTTTCCACGCGAGTGCGTGCCGGAGCTGTCAGCATCTGGCTGCCTAACAACTGCTAGGATAAGTTGGCGGTGGCCACTGCTTGACGTGAGTGACAATCAGCATTCAGATTTCTCGGCAGCACGACTTTTGTGCACCAGTGCACGATATGTTTGCTGAGTTGTTATGGTGGCACTGTGACACGCGAACGTGCAAGGAAGTGGACTTCCTTGGAAAGGGTCACGGCACTGTGGCATACTTGGTCTTGTCAAAGGCTTACTCATGGCTTATTCTGGTCTTATCCAGGGGTAGACCGCTCTTAGCCCCTAGGACTCTGTGACTTTGGGGGTTTTCTCCCTTCCTTGTCTCATTTGCAATTTCTACTTTTCTGAAAAGTAGCATGAGACCTGAAAACAACAGATCTCCCTACTACATGCGGATTTTGGGCCCATCTTTTTTCTCCTCTCTGGCTTTTGCGGATCATTCTGTTTTTCCTCTGAGGGGACGAGGCGGGGCACGTGCGGTTCTGCCTGAAGACGGTGGATTTGATGGAGAAGATGACGCTGGACCAGCGACTGGGCACCACCAAGCTGAACAACACCGCGCCTCGGATGCCTCAGACAGGGCCAAAAGGGGTGTGTGTGTGGGGGGGGTCCTCCTTTTTGTTTTTCTCCGCCGCCCCCATTGTTGTTTGGTGGTTAAAGGAGAAGGACACTAACTATTTGGGGGTCCTATATGTCGTGATGCTGCATGTCATACGGCAGGGTCTCGCGCTCGAACGCCAAGTGGTTTGCTTTTCCTTAGAGGGAGAAATTCGGGCAATTCTTCAAACATGGTTTGTTTCCTTTTGTCAGCCTAAAGGGGGGCGGAAGCCATTTTCGAGACGCGGAGTTGGGTATGGTGAAACAGCCGTCACCTTGAGCTCAAGGAGCTGGCAGCATCGCATGGGGCAGACGTGGTTTGGGCATGGTCTTTGGGGTATGGCTGTGGGTCAAAAATAGGGTAGCCCCAACGTGGAACCCTGGTAACTGGAAACATGGACCAACACCTGCGGTCCCCTGGTGGTTGAATTTTGACCCATACCCGTATCTTTGCCTTTGGGCTTAAAGGCGTGGATGGTGTGGCTTCCGGGGAGGTTGAGTAGGCGCCTTTTTCGGCTCTTCCGTGTGACCTGCACTCTGACTCAACTCCATGGGTTGGCTGGATGCTCTGAGGCTTTGCGATGGGATGCCCCAAACTCGTAGGCTTGCCCTGTGGAAGTTGATCCCCTCCTACTGAGGCGGTAGATGTAAGAGTGTTTTTTATGGGGCACGAAGCCCAGTCACTGCCCGCACTGGACAAGGGAACAAGGCTGCGGCTTTCCAAGGGCTGGGGTCAGAATGAAATGGCTTAAGACAGGAGGGGGGGGAACGGTGACATGGGATAGGCATCAAACAAAAAACTTATGCTCATTCCTATGGGGGAAAGGAAGGACGGACGGACGGAAGGAAGGAAGGAAGGAACCCCCCCCCAACCACCCCGCTGATTTTCAGAATGTTTGCAGAGATTACCGCACCCTTTGCTGAATCATCACTTCTTCGAGCATCACCACCCTTTGTTGAATTCTCACTTCTTCGAACATCATTGGGGGCGGCCCCCCCTAACCCCCCTTCTGAATTTAGAATGCTTACAGAGCTTAACGCGCCCCTTGTTGAATCATCACTTCCTCGAACATCATGGGGGGGGCGGCAGCCCCCCCCCCCCCGCTGATTTTCAGAACGTTTGCAAAGCTTAACGCACCCTTTGCTGAATCATCACGTTCTTTCTTTCTTTCTTTCCTTCTTTCTTTCTATCTTTCTTTCTTTCTTTCTTTCTTTCTTTCTTTCTTTCTTTCTCTCTCTCTCTCTCTGTTTTCTTCCTTTTTCTTCATGTTTATATCTCTGTATCTTTTTCTTCACTGCTTGCGAAAATGCTGCGCCTGCGTCAAACTTTGCACCGTACATTGCGAAAGTGCTGCGCCTGCCGCGAAATTGGTACCTCTTGCGAAAGTGCTGCGCCTGCCGCGAAAGCTGGACCGCACCTTGCGAAAGTCCTGCACCTGCCGCAAATCTGTACCTGACCTTGCCAAAGTGCTGCGCCTACTGCTGAAATCTGTACCTGACCTTCCGAAAGCATTGCGCCTGCCACGAAATCTGTACCTGACCTTGCGAACGTGCTGCGCCTGCCGCGAAATCTGTACTGCACCTTGCGAAAGTGCTGCGCCTGCCGCGAGATCTGTACCTGACCTGCGAAAGCATTGCGCCTACCTTGCGAAAGCGTTGCGCCTGCCACGAAATCTGTACCTGACCTTGTGAAAGTGCTTTGCCTGCCACGAAATGAATAAGTTTTTTTTGTTCCCTAAAGGGTTTTTTGATCCTCTGATTTTTCATTTTTAATAGTAAATCAATGAGAATAAGTTTTTTTGATCCCTAATATTTTTTTGATCTTCAGAACTAAGTTTTCTTTTAATGCCTAAATAGTTTTTTTTGATTCCTCACCCCGGTGACATAGGGCGGCGAGATTTCAGTGAATCGCTGGTCCTCACATGTAGCCAAGAACCTAGCCAATAAGCCCGTCCATTTTCCTGTTTCCATCTTCACTGCAATATTCGATTTTGTTTTAGAAGAACTACATGATGGCGAGTGGAAGAGGACAAGGAACGACCCACCTCATCGCCATTCCCTTCTCTTGAATGGAGACGGAGATGACAGGCGATGAGGCATAGGATTGAGACAGTTGTGATCATATGGAACCCGCAAATGACAAGCACAATATCGTATGATACAGATGGGATGATTGTGAAGTACAGCAAGCTGCGGCCATAAGATGGAAAGTTGTTTTAGGTGGTCATTGACCACCTATCCTGGCAAACGAACAGATATTCAGAATCCAAAAGCAAAGAGAAAAGCCAACAAATTCACGAGGTGTAAAGATTCTAGCATAGAACATTGCAGTTCCTCTCTCTTCATTTTCTATCCCACGTCATCAAACCAGATGTGGGATAGGGCCGCGTCTTTCACTTCCTCTATGCAATCCTAGATACAGAGCTGAAGGAGATGGATGAACATGCCTTTCCTATGTCCTCTCTGTTCATCTTCCTGGCGTACAGGATAGCGTAACGGAAGCAACTGGGATCAGCCTTAAAGTGACAGCTGCCCCCCACCCCCGCTCTCGCGCAAGGAATGGTACGCTCCTTTGGCAGCAAGTGATTTGGTCGCGGGACGGTGGCAGGAGCATGCGGCGGGACGCACACATTGATCCAAGTCCGAACCACTACCACCAGGGAAAAGCAAGGTATATACGCCTCCCTTAGTGGCTAAATAGAGATGGTTTTAAGCCTGTTTGCGGGGTGGTGGAATCCATTTTTGCTTGGGGTCATATTTGTGTCGCTAGATGTTGCAAGGGAACGACTTTAAACCACCGTTCTGATTTTGTGCCGAAAAGGCATGCTTGCACATTGAGAGAGTCCACGGCATTTCAGCTGCTTCCATGTGCTGAAGACATCTCGGGGTGTCTCAAAACAGGCGCCTCTGCAACGGGGTGGTTTCCAGTTGGAATCTGGGCATATCCATGTCATCATGTGCGGTCATTGCATCCACGAAAGCTGCGAAACCTGAGGCTGTGGCCGGCCGCTCAGAATCGCCGAACGCTGTGCTGTGAACGGGTTTGCTTCGCGATGGAGCCCCAAACGGTGCTCCCATGTCGCTGCAAACTTGGAGTCAGCTCTCAAAGGCCCCAAGAGATTGGCAGGCGTTGCGTTTCGGACGGCCCTTCTTGGCTTTAGGCGCTTGTGCCTGCAAGGTCATGGCCAACAAGCAGATCGCAGACGACATGTTTTTTACCTTTCAGCAAGGCAGGGAGCATGGTGAGGGCACATCGCCGCAGCAAAAAGAGGACAAAAAGACGGCACAGAGTCAAATGCGCAAACCAACCCCCAGCAGAACGCTGGCGAGACGAGCAATCGAGCGAACTGCCAGTTTTAGAAAAGGCTTGCAGACAACCTTAGCGTCTAAACCAGACAGACAGAGCCAGTCGGAAGGTGCCGCCACAATGAGCTTCATTTGCACAATGCCTTTTGTACTAGGAAAGATAAAGTCGAGCCACACATCGAACACGAGACCAGAGCTAATTGCTTCAACCCACCTCTCTGTGTTTGTTTATCTTCTTGGCCGCAAAGTGGGGAACCCCTGGTACCCGGTCCCTGTCGGTTGTTTTGGGGCGAACCAGAAGCCAGACATGGATCTCTCATTTTCATGCGTGCCTTCCGTGCCTTCCCCGGGGTGCAGGGGGGATGCCCAGAGATCGCTTCGAGAAGACGCTGGAGCAGCACTGCAAGCGAGCGCCTCGGCAAACGAATCAAGCGCCTGAGCGAGCTGCCTAAACGCTGACCGTCAGACGGAGTCGCCCTGCGAATTGGCGCATGGGACGTGGGGTTTGGGCACAGAAGGTGTGTCAAAAATAGGCACCCTTTAGCCAACAGGAAACCGGCCAGGATCATGGACACACAAAGCGCAGAGCGGGTGGGGCAAACTTTGTTTAAACACCTGGACAGCACAAGGGGGTTGTTTGAACAAGGGTGTTCAAAGATGAAAGAAAGGGTTGGCCCCAGGTGATCGCCATGGTGGAGCACACCCTTCTTCCTATGGCCGAGCACAACAAGGAGTCAAGTGTGGCAGAGCAGCACCGAACAAATGGGTGTGTCCATTTTTGAGGGTACCCTTGTTGGGGCTTTTTTGAACGGAAACCAAAACGACACCATTTTTGGGTTCCCTACTATCAGTGTAGTTTGAGCACCGCACAAATCCTCTCGACCTTGTTTTGGTACTTTGCCGAGAGGCCACCGTTTGAGAAATCGTTTGCACTGGGGCAACAGTGCGTCAAGTCATTGCCTGGAACAAGAGTTGCCCCCGGCCTGTTACGCAGGGTTGCACAGAGCAAGTACGGTAGCCGGTTTCAGCCGACGGCCCAACTGGAACAAAATAGGATACAATGAATGGCAGCGCTGAAAAGAGAATACTGGAAGCGTTGGGGCATTCAAACGGACAAACAATGGCTTTGCAGCTCTTCGATTTGCGCATGGTACCATGAGACATGACGCACATCAGCAAACAAGTTTCCGCCTGAGATCGAACGAAGCGCTCTCCTTCGTCACGAACCTGTGCGGTAGCTTTTGAGAAGGTATCCTTTGGTTTGGTAGTGCTGCTTGTAGCTGCAGTTGTCACGAGCCTAGACAACAGGCTAGTTGATCACTCAATTCCCCAGCGCTATCTCATACACACCATGCATATGTGTAGGTATGTTTTTGGTTCTACGCAGAACATGCTTTGCCTTCTTTATGCTTCCAGGACTTGGAACGTCAAGCCATGTGCCTACGGCAGAAGGCAGACTATTTGCGCGACTCGCCGGCAGCAGGGGAGGATGTCATTCTTCATGGGTTGTGATGTTTCCTCTTTGGAGCATCTCGAACATCGCTTTTTTTAGACCAATTTCAAGAAGGTTTGGTTTGCGCGTGGTTTCTTTTTGGTTCTATGCGTCTGTTTCTACACGACGGCTCAGTGGTGCGTTCCAGGTCATCCGAGGCAAGCAAGAGGCAGCTTTCTCCCTGGTTCATGAGAGCGGTGGAAAGACAGGACAAGAAGAGGATGGTGAGCAGCGCTCTAGAGGTAACATGACTCCAGGAGCTTCCGATACACAAACTCCCGAACCCGGGGACGAGCCCGAATTGAATTCCCCGTATGCATTGTGGGAACCGAAGGCACATGGCAACATAATTTTGATGGAGAACCCCTGAACAACTGGTTGGCGGACATGAAACCCCACCTAAATGAATGATGGGCACCAAAGGGTCCCAAAATAACAACTATACCCGAATGGGTGTTTCTTGCCTCTTTTTGTTTTGGGTTGCTTCAAAGGGAAACCAAACGGACGCCACCCATTTTGGAATTCCCCTGTTTTGAGAGCCCACATATTGACTGTGGCTCTCTTGAGCACCCCAATTGGCCAGTAGGTGGTTCTAGCAGCTGGTTTTCTTGCAGATTTTGTAGCAAGGCCCTTTTACAAAACCCTCAACGCGCCCAGTTTCGTTGCACCAAAAGTCCACGAGTGAGCCGGGCGCTGCCCGCTCCACTGGCTCTCAGGTTACATGTACTTCTGGCTTCCTCGTGCCCGGCAACACGGGGACGAGATCGAGCAGATCTACCGCAG